AGCGGCCGCGACGACGACGACGACGACGACAACGACGACGACCATAAACGCAACCACCACCACCAGCGGCCATCAGAACGTCTATCCGAACGTTGGAGAGAGCGCGCAGGGCGGCGGAGAAGCGCCGGCGAACGCGGCCGAACTGGCGCACTTGGTCACATCTGTCAACATCAACAGTAGTCCGCGAACGAGCCCCGAGTCCGAGGACTACCCGTTGGTAGCCTCCTGCTCCTCCGCTGCGTTCCAGCCTCCGTGTTCCATGTCTAGCTCGGCGAGCTTGTCGTCGCGCGCGTCGAAAATGTCGAGCAGCGCGATGAGCGTGATCATCGCGGCCACCCTCACATCCAACGCTCAGATAGTCGGCGAGGGAGCCACCGCCACCACGGACTATCCGAACCTCGACGACTTCACCTGCACGTTGACCGAGGAGGACGCGAGAATGTTGGTCGATCTGCTGAAGCTGGCGGTTGGCAGCAGGGTGTGCAAAGGGGCGAGAGAGACGATATCCTCGGTGCTGATCGCGCTGGCCAAGGCGAACCACTCGATTCGCAGCATGCTGCTGGAGCTGTGCATCACCGAGCTGGAGGACACGGTGGCCAACTCGAGCAACAACAAGGGCGACAAAACGCCGCAGCCGGTAGTGCAAGAGAGCCCGCATCCGTACATCGACGGCACCACGTTGACCGGGCAGGTGATGGTGCCCGGCGCCGAGTGCCTCCGCCTCGAGTTCGACCGGCGTTGCTCCACCGAGAGACGCCACGACCCGTTGACCATCATGGACGGGAGCAATCGGGTGCTGGCGGTCAAGTCCGGCAGAGAGTGGAGCGAGTGGTCCGGCGAGATTCGAATACCCGGCGACGAGCTTCGATGGCGGTTCTCCTCGGACGGGTCGGTGAACGGCTGGGGATGGCGATTCACCGTCTACCCGGTCCTCTTCACCCTCTCGCCGCACGAGCGTATCTCCGACAGAGCGGTGCTCTCGCAGCCGGCGATTGCTCTCGCCGAGTCGCTGCTCGACAATGCGCTCATCACGTTAGACAGGAACATCGCCAGCCGGCTGGCCGCCACGCTGGCCCAGTGCAGCCAGTTGAGCGTGTTGTCCGCCCAGCAGCGGATGTGGGCATTGAGAAAGTTGCAAGTCGTGTACACCAGCGGGAATACGGGAATACGGCCGGAGGTAGCCCTCACCTCGCTGCTCGGCTCCCTGCCGAAAGCCTTGCTCAGACAGTACACGTACGAGGATCCGCTGGTCCGCGGTGGCAAACAGCTGATGCACAGCGACTTCTTCAAGGTCCTGGTCGCGCTCGCCTGCGACCTCGAGCTCGACGGGATGCAGTGCTGCTCGGAGATTCACAAGTGGTCGTGGTTCCGAAGGTACTGCCTGTCCGCCCGGGTCGCCAAGTCTCTCGTCAATCGGGCGCCCCTGCCGAAGCCGTTCTGCCTCGAGGTTACCAAACGTATCAACGAGATGATCAACGTCGACGACGAGGAGGCCAACAGCGCCAGCACCACTAACACCCGGGACCACGAGAGTCACGAGCTGTTCAAGCAGGAGCACGACGAGCAGCTGTTGCAGTGGCTGAACCGCCGCCCGGAAGACTGGACGTTGTCGTGGGACGGTTCTGGCGCCATTTACGGCTGGGGTCACAATCATCGCGGCCAACTGGGCGGCCTCGAGGGCGCCAAGGTGAAACTGCCCGTCCTCTGCGAGAGCTTGTCCGCCCTTCGACCGGTTCAACTCACCGGCGGCGAGCAAACTTTGTTCGCCGT